AATCTTCTACAGTTGGGCCTCTGGGTTCTCCGAGGCCCAGCCAGTCTCCTCCTAGGTGCATGTATGCATACCCCTAAGACAGATACAATGGCCCCCAATTATCGCTGGTGTTCACACCTCTGGGTAATCCCTTCCCCTTGAGCGTAGGTGGGACCTGTACCTTATTTCTGACTAGCACAATGCTGCAAAGGTAATGGGATGTCATTTCTGGGATTTTGTTACGTAAGATGGTAACCTCCATCTCACTAGGAGACTCCCTCCATTGACTCTCACTGGCTTTCATGAAGCAAGCCACCTTAGGGAGAAGCCCACCCGGCAAACAGAGAGTGGGGGCCTCTGGCTAACAATCCTCAAGGAACTGAATCTTTCCAACAACGACATGAACTTGAAAGTGGATCCTTCCCCATCTGAGTCTCAGATGAGACCCCTGGCCTTGGCCGACCCCTTGGTGCAGCCCGTGAGAGCCCCTGAGCAGAAATCTGCCACCCCCAACAGTGGCCGGATTCCTGACCCACAGAAACTATGACATGATAAGGGTGTCTTGTTTTGAGCCACTACGTTTGTTGTAATTTGTTATGCAGGAACAGAAAACTACCTACCACCGTGGAATGCCGTACAGCAGTGAGAATGAATGAGCCAGTGACATCACACAACAAGGGCAAATCCCATAAACATCATGGTGAGTGAAAGAAGCCGGGCGGAAAATGGAATCTGTATACTTCCGTTTAAACAAAGCTCAAAATCAAGCAGAACTAATCTACGATATTGGAGGTCAGGGTGTTGGGTGGGTAATGACTAGAAGCGAGCACAGGGAGGCTTCTAGGGGCTGGCAATCCGCTTCTGGATCTGGGTTCTGGTTAGGTGAATCCATGCACTTTGCGAAAATTCTTCAAGTGTACACTTATGATTGGCGCACTTTTCAGTATTTCAAAATGTGTTATGTTTTGATAAACAAGTTTGCCAAAAATGCAGCATTCTGGAGTCGAATCCCAGTCTGACCTCTTACAAGATTTGTAACCGGGCAAGTCACCTGACTCTTCCGTGCCCGCTTCTGTAAAATGGGTTAGGCTAAGAATTGAATAAAACTGTGCACAACATCGTGGCTGGCACCTCACAAGCCTAAATATATATTAGCTGGTTTTGCTAACCACACCCATAAAGGTCCATTGTTAACTCGGAAAAAAAACAAAAAACAGCAGAGGTTTGTCCAGATGCCTGAAAGTAGAATTTATGGAGTTGCCCAGCAGGTACCATCCCAGAGAGACCAGGTGGGTTCTCAGAAAGCCCTCCAGGGGACATCACGGGAGGGAGCTCAGCTGTCTCTGACATCCACTCCCAGAAATGTCCCAGGGCAAAGGGGAAGATGATGTGCCACTGGTCAGAGGTCACATTTGCTCTGAGTTGGGACTGAGTCTTGATGCAAATCAAAGTTCTCCCCAGGGTGTCTGTGACCTTGGGCTGTCCTCCCATATCATCCAGAAACCAAAACAAACAAACCAAACGGCCACTAATAATTGCAAACACTCACAGAGCGAGTCTGTTGTACTGGGCACAGTTTAATAGTTTACACTTACTGGCCCCTGAATCCTCACCATCCTGGCCTTGTGATCTCCACCGGACAGGTGGCAGAAGTGAGGACAGAAGAAATCAGAAGAACACACCCATGGTGGGATCGGCACACTTAGCAGTTTGCAAACAGAAGGCACACACCGACTCCCGTGGCAAAGCCCGAGGAACCAAGGGGACTTGACTCTGGAGACCGATTTGCAAGAGAAACGAAGGCGTTGAGCCAGCAACAGAAGAATCCATTTGAGAAAAATCTTCAAACCTGCATGTTTTCTCATGTTCTGTCAAGGGAAGGGGACGATGACAGCGGCAGAAGGCCTCAGTGACCAGTTCGTCTTTCTGCAGTTTGAATTTATTTTTGTGAGTGTGAGTGTGTGTGTAGTGTGTGTGTGTGTGTGTGTGTGTGTACGTAAATAAAACCCATATTTCCTAAGGCTGAAGGGCCAGGTTATTAGTGGCTCTGGAGTCTCCAGCAGGCCAGGCGGTCTGCTTTCCCCTCCGTCATCCTACTCAGCAGCTTGGCTACTTCCTGCCCTCACGCTCTCTTCCTCCCTCTTGCTCTCCCTTGCGCCTGTTCCCGTTCTTTCTCTGGCTCTCCCTCACCCCATAGAGGCTGGGCAAACCTCCCTACCTTCATTTCAGTTTGGAATGCAAAGGCACTAGGAGGGACAGGCAGGTCTGGGAAGGGTGCGAAGGGGGTGCAGTGGGTGCCATCTCCCTGATCAAGGACAGCCCAGGGAAAGTGGCTGACACGGAATGAGGTCCTACAGGGGCAGAGCCCCTCCCTTTCTCCCCAGGAAGGAAGCCCAGTGTCTGGGCCTCCGAGTTTGGGGGCAGCCCCTTCCCTGGCCCTTTTCTCTCCTTGCTTCAGGCAAGCCTTCAGTTTTACATTATTCAGTCCCTTGTATGAGGACAGCTGGGAACAATGGAGCCGGGACTCGAACCCCGGGCCCTTCAGATGCCAGCACTTCTGCCGTTGAGTCACGATACAATATGGCCTTGGTAGCCACCCACAGCTGAATAACACTGATTGATCATAAGCATCACCAAGGAACCCATATACTCTAGAAACCTCTATTTTTTCCTTCAAGGGCAATATTTTTAACACCCCATCATGGTTTAATTGCAAGTTACAACCCTTTCTCTCAGTCCAAGAAATCATAAAGCCATAAGTTATTGGGGTGTTTTATGTTCTGTTTTTGAAATTAAAATGGATTACATGTTATTGCATTTCACGGATTGTACACACCCTTTGAGATAACTGTGGCATTTTGGGGGGAGGGGAGCCCAATCAAGATTTAGCAGTTTCTGCTCGCCTGGGTCTGAATGTCAGCTTTGCTCTCAGTTTAGAATTCTTCAAAGGGATGGGCTACTGGCGACATACGACCTCTCAAAGACTATCTGGGGCCTTGGGCTGCTCTGGCTCACAGCCAGCCTGGCTTCTGTTAGGGTCTGCCTGGCAGTAAGCAAGTTTGCATCCTGCACTCATACTGGGGACAAGAATTGGGCTAAATCAAACATGGAGGTGGAGGTCCAGGTAGGGGTGGTGCTCAGGCCTCCCGTGAGCCCACTGCCTGAACAGCTGGCAAGAGAAGCCAATGTCCTGGGGTCAGGACAGATCAGCTCAGCGGCCCGAGAAAGTAGGAAGTCAGGCTGTGGGTGAGTGTTGGGGGCGGGGGCTGTCCCCTCCACCCCCCATTCACTCAGGCACTGTTCTAGGTACTGGTGATCCAGCAGTGAACTAAACAGAAAAAAACTCCCTGCCCTCCTGGAGGAGGGTGGGGCAAGGAGACACACGAATGAGATAAATCAAATAGGATGTTAGATGATAAGCGGTCAGATGAGAAGAGGGAGAGAGCGTTGAGGTTTTTGTTTTGTTTTGTTGTTCTTGTTGCTCTTCCTTGTTTATTGGGTTTGGTTTTTTAAAAGAATTTGAAGTAGGGCAGTATTTGAGTAAAAATCTAAAAGAGATGAAGGAGATCCCTGGTGGAAGTGATTTCTAGGGAGAGAAAACATAAGTGCAAAGGCCCTGAGGCAGAAAGGCCCTGGGGAGTTGAGCCTGACCCTTCCTGTTCCTGTGAAGCTATTATTCCTTAGGCCCCAGTTTCTGTGGTCACTCCTCCGACTTTAGGCCTAGGGTCTTTCTGGATGTGGGGAACTGACCCCAGGCACAACCTTCCAGGCTGCATGAGGCCCTGGAAGAGATTTCCAGGAATAGGCCCTGGGGAAGGTCTCTGCAGTTCAACTTTCTAAGACAGGGTTTTGCCAAGTTTGTAAGAAATGCACATTCCCAGACCATGCCCCTCCGCATTTGCCTGCTCAGAATCTGTGATGGGGTCTGTGCCTGGGAATCTGCATTTCTAAAAGCCTCTAGGCATGTTTGAGCATCTTCACTATGTCCATTTCCATGAGTTCTCTCTTAGATCTTGTTCTAATTGCCTAGGATAGAGTCTGCCACATTTCATCTTTTTAAATGTTTTTTGAGGTTTTCTGGAGGCACCTTGCCGGCCATTTCCTGCCAGGGAAGGGAAGCATTCTCCAGGTAGGCAGAGTCGGCTGGGCTGTTCTGCTCCCAGGCAGAAGGTGACATGGGGGTGGTGGGAGATCTTTGGGATTTGCATGTTTTCTCCACAGAGCCCCTCCCCCAGTCCTGCGCCCAGGGTGGGGGTTTCAAGGACAGTAACCGATGCAGGTCAACTCTGGGGACTCAGGAGATGTTTGTAGAGATAAAGAACAAATGGCCGAATAAACGTCGGTTTTGACAGGGAAGGACAGGAATCATAGTGGGGTTGGCGGTTTGGAAGTATCCTTTCCCCAGCCCATGGAAAAAAATCCTCATTCTTTCAAAATTGTTCCTTCCACCCCATCCGTCTCCCATCCCCATGCCCACCCCCACCCCCAGAAGTGGTGATCCCCCCAGCTCACTCTATTTTCTGCAACAGAGAGGAGTCGAGATTCGGGTGGGGCAGGGGTTCTAACCTCTAAGCTTCTCCTGGTTCAGCTCCATCACCCTCCCACCCCGCCTCCACGCACCCAGCCTAGAGCAGAGAGTAGGAAGAAGGACTCTCGAGTCTGCTCCTTCCTCGCTGGAAAACCGCGGGCTATTTCTGTGACCTCTGAGCCTCCGTTCCCCCATCTGTGAAACGGGCCTGGGGATCCCTAAGCGGCAGACCCCGGGATACTTCCAGGCGCTGCAGCAGGCTGTGATCCTCGAGG